GGTTAAAACCAGCTTTTCCATGTAGCATTATTCATGTGTAAATAATCACTGATTATCCAGCCTGTAAGTAATGAAATTCTCACTACCTTTCAACAATAATGCTGAAAACATTAAATGTTCTTCTTTACCTTAATGCATTTGTTATATTGTGAGCTTTATTAGTGTTGAGTCAATAAACAGTCCAGTGTGGTGTTTCTGCTTGACAGTCTCACTGGATGACACTGCTTAACAGATCACCTTCAGCCTAATGTTAACAGCACCAGGATGTGGGAAGTGAACTTCAGTGGAAAAACCTAAATGGTTACTTCAAAATAAGATAATGCAGTTCATGCAGCTCAAAGTACTTTTGAGCATTTAGCTTGAACAGCCAATATGAAAATGCAACGTGAAAATAAAAGACAGGGCTTGAAGAGAGCAGCCAAGGAAACATCTGGTGCTGTTATCCATGTTTACAGTTTCAGGGTGGATTTTCCAAAGCCTCTCAGGGAAAGGGAGCCTGACTCCCTTCACATATTCCTGCAGCATGTTTGGCAGCCTCATGTTCCATGGCCTGGTGCAGTTGAAGCTGTGCCACTTCGTGGATTTTCTTCAGGGTGCCCAGCTCCTGGACAGCACCACACAGGCCTGCTGGGAACCACCTGGCATGGATCTCCACAGATCCATGCATGGATCACCTGTTCCCTTCCTCAGGGAAAACTGAATCCTACCTGCATTCTGGCAGGAATGGAAAAAACATTTATTTGTGACTACAGTTTACCTAAATCCCCTGTGCTTTTTGTCCTACCCTCAAGTACTGCCATAAAAGCCACTCAGCTCCTTCTTGCCAAAGAGCCCTGGTCATGTCTGCTGGGGGCTTCTCCCCTGTCATGGTGTCCAGGACCCCTGTGCAGAGCAAGCAAATTGTCCAATTTGTCAAGTCCTGGAAACAAAGCTCTTGAAATAAAAAATAACCAAGTGGTTTTGAGCTCTGCCTGGGTGACCATGCCTGTGAGGTTTCTCTGCTCATCCCTCATTAAAACAGCCCTGCCTTTGTGCACTGCTCCCCTGTGCCCCTGCCTGGTGCTGCCCTCACCTCACTACTGCTGTGAGTGCCACACAACTGAGACACAACCAGCATCTTCTGCAGGTCATGGCTGACAACCAGTTCATTAACACACAATTACAAAATCCCAAGTAAAAGCCACTCACACCTCATTTGCAAAACAAGCTCCTTAAGTATTTTAGAATCTAGTGGGTCAGATTTTTATGCATTTATGTTAGATTTGATTTTCATTAATGCCAAATGAACCTTACATAAAGCACTTCTATCTCATATTAAAGGCATGATGCCAGTGAGCATCCATTTGGTTGCTAAGTATCAGGAGATCCTCTAATTATCTGTTTTGTACTTAAGATGCAGCAGAGGGAGATTCCACTGCTCTGTGGACATGTTCCATAACTTGGCAACTGCCTTGCAGCTGCCTTCAGCTCAGGAGGACACAAAAGGAATGCTGGCTGCATTCCTCCTCTGTGAAGTAGTGCGGAGGACTGATGACCAGTAAATCTATAAACTTAAAAAGAAAAAAGCTTCAGACCTCTCTCTCCACCCCTCTCTTTTATCTGCTGCTAGGGCAATAATAATGGAAATATTCTGAAGGCCTTTCAGCAAGTGAGGGGGGCAGGAGCATAGCATACACCATGGTATCCCTTCAGAGCACATCACCAGAATTTGCTTCCTTTTTTCTTCAGGAAAAAAGACTCCCTGCAAGAAAGAGCCTTGCTCTTGGGGGACTCAAATTCTAGCTGACTTTTTGAGATGCAGCCTGATGGGAAATGAATAAAAATTGCAGAAAACTCCTTCCTGAAGTGGATTCCAAATCTAGTGAGTAATGCCATTCAACTCACAGGTGATGAGCCTTTGGCTCCTACATTTTTTCCTGCCCTGGCATAGAAGAACTGCACTGTCAGGCCCCTCTGCTGAGAAATGCACTGGCTGCAGGCCCAAGTGCAAGGAGAACACCCACTGCATGGCACAAGGCAACTAGAAAGGAGGACAATGTATGCCTCACCTCCTCCAAGAGTCCAGGCAGTGACCAATCCTTCCTTTGGTTGTGGGTCAAGTCCTGCAGCTTTTAAAACCCGCTGAACTCACACCCAAATCAATGGAACTATTCTCCAGACAAAAGGGAATGTTGTTTCCCTCATTATTCCCATTAGCTATGGTTCCAGGCACACAAGCAGAAGGGATGACTTTGTCAAGTTTGCTGGATCTCAGGGGCCTGTTGTTAAAGCTAATTTGAGAATGGCATTGGCACATTCTGGCCAGGAAATCCAGTACCATGGGGTTAACTTTCAGCTCTTACACCGAACACAAATCAGTGAGGAAATTCACTGCTAGGTGCAGTCTCTAATTATTTAAAAGATAATTTGCATGCTACACAGAAATAAATTAGCTCCCAGGTGACAGCTGTTCCACTGTGTCCATTCCTGGAACGAGATGCCATGCTGGGAAATCTAAATGCAGACCAAAAGATTAAAACACTGCATTTTCTTGCCTTGTAGGAAGGCTCTTCCCAAAAGAGAGGCATAAAGAAGAGAGGAGGGGAACAGATATTTCCAACCATCAAGCTGAACTAGCACACCACATTTTCACAGTCTATATTTTCATTTCACTAAGGGTATTTCACATCTTGCCAGTAGATGTGGATGCAAGTGTAACAGGTACTAGTTTAAAAGGAAGGTTTTGAAATCCAAAGACAGGAGCTCAAACCTCACATCAGGTTTGTGTTTATGTGGGAACCTTAGAGACCACATGAACAAGGCCAAAAACAGTTGTTTTATCACACACATAGAAATCAGTGAATGCATTTTCCTATTCTACACCAAAAGCCAACCAGGCACCACTTTTTCTCTACATAAAAACCTCAAGACAACTCACAAGAGATGCTAAACCCTTTTTCAGTGGGTTTTCTAACAAACAGTCTTCTCATGGTTTGGTTTTAGCAGTGTCTGTTGCACACTGCACACACATGTATGCACATTTTATGTGACACTGTACTGTGGGGAGGTAGATGTGCTGTAGATGTGAAATATTATGAGAGTACATTATACTGCCAGCCTTCCTCTGTTGCTCCGTGTCCTTCTGAAAGCATCAAGTTTCTTTGCCAGCTTGCTGTGTGCCAGGACTGCTCCCTGGGGATGCCAGGGAGTTTACCTGTTACACCTGCTGGAGAATGCTCCCTCCTCACAGGGTGGACATGTGTAACAGGAACACCAGGCTGGGATGAGTGGGAGTGTCTCTGTGTGTGTGTTAAAGTGCCACAAGAGCCACACAAGCAAGGATTAAAGAGCAGCATATGTTCACTGCTGCAGAGCAACATATGGGATTTCATTCATAGGACCAAACAGCAAGAAGAGAAGGAATAAATCTATCTAAAGATAAGGTAGAAAGAAGACTGAAAACAACTGGAGGCAATAAAAAAAAAAAAAACAGATAAGAAAAACCTGGCAACTGTAATTCAGGAATTCTGCCACAGGCTAATGAGAGGCGAGATAAAATAATGAGGCAAAAGGTCCCAAACAACATCACTGTCTAATGGCTGTAAAAGACAAGTCCAAAATTAGTTCATCATCACTAATTAAGGAGAGCTGAATGGATGTGATGAGGCCCTGATACATGGTATCCCTCTGTGCAGCACACCAGGGATCCTTTGGTCAAAGTCAGGAAAATACTGTTACCTGTATATATAACCTGTATATACCACAGGCTGAAATCCCAAAGCAGGATGATTTATTCTTACAGATCTTACTACTGGTGTGAAACTTGCTGGTGCCTCTGACAAATGCCACATACCACATGTCAGAGTGGTTCACAGGAAAGGTGAGCTCACAATGTGTGTGTGCACACTGTGATGCCCCAAAAGGACTGATGGCACCTTGCACAGCCCAAGGAGTTCTCAGAGTGCTCCAAATGTACCATCAGCATGAGTAGTGACAAGGAGAGGAAATCAACTGCTTAGCCCATCTCTCATGCACTTGTGCCACCCTCCTTCAGTTCCTCTTTGACACTCACTGACAGTGAATTTCAGGTGAATTTCACATCTGCTGTGCCCTGTTCCTCTCTTGTAAAACAACCCCAACATTTGCTATAAATCAAGGCCTACAGCAGCAATATTCACAAGCATCTGGACCACAGTACACTCTTCACAGCAAACTTTTACAAACTATTATCTAAATAACAACATACAATCTGAAAATTTTGATACCATTTGTGCCTTTCTTCTAATCACTTGTAAATAGAAGAAAATAAAACCTGGAAATGTTTCAGGCACCACTTTGTATCACAATAAAAGCTGATCATTTGTTCCTGAGCCTGGCTTTCTGTCTCTACCCAGCTGATGTAAGGCAGTACTTCACTACTCCATCTGTGACAGTGTCTGTTCCAAAGCACCATTTGTGAGGGATTTCTTCAAATGAAAATCAAAAGCAATGAAACATTCTCTCAGAGGAGATGGCACAAGACTAGAACTAACCAGGCCTTCAATCTCTCTCACCAGATAAAAATAGGCAAGTTGCTGAGTGTGACTATCACCATGAGTTATTTAAAATCTCCCTACGAACCTCTGACTTAAAAATTTGATTCAAAGCAACAAAAATACTTTTAAAAGCGACTTTTGAACATGACTTCAGTAATAAAGGATTGTTCAAGTTCAGCTTAATGGTTAACCTACTGAATATTCTAAACAAAGCGATAAAGACACCAAAATGCTCATTCAGATGAAAAATAATCAAGTAAACCATTGCTCCTCCTCTAAGTAAATCTTAGACACAAAGCTCTTTCCAGGAAGGTCTTCGGGACTTACATTTTTACCGACAATATTGCTAAATAATGGAAAATATTTTTAAATCTGTTTTTCTACCTTTTTTTCCAACGAAAAGCAGCCAAAAGGCAAAGCACAATGGGACAAATGTTAAATTCTGCCAGAAGGAAGATTTTGAGCACAACAACGAGCTCCTCTCACCTGTAGAGGTCTGTGAGCTGCCCGGCCCCCCAGCGGTAGTACAGGTCATTGAGGAGGCGCTCATGCTGCCCGTACAAGCAGATGTAGTTGGACACAGGGAAGGGCTCCTTGGAAAAGCAGGTGATGCTGTCCACCATATTGTATCTGCTGAAGTGTATCCTGAAGTAATTCCCCTGAGTGGCCTCCCCTGTTACAATCTCTGTCCCCTAGAACAGAAAACACCAGGAAAGCTGTGGAGAAACAAGAACACCTGACCTGGCACATGTACAGGGTCAGCAAGGCTTTCCCACTGCTTAATATCCACAACCCTCCTGTTAAAACTGAGAGACCACTCCTGGCACAGCAGTTCATTGGGAATGTTGCTGTGGTTTGGACACAGATTTTCCATGTGGTTTGGTTGCTGCCCATCCCACTGTCACTGCAGACACCCAGGGAAACCCAGGCCCTCTGGCTGTGCTGGCAGCATGACACCAGATCCACAGGGACCTCTGACCTCCTGGAGCAGCAGCTGGAGTCAGGAAAGATGACCTGGGGCATCCCAAACAACACTGGATAGCTCTGTTTGGGTAACTGAACTGAACTTTGTTCAGCTCCTTTATGACAGAGAGCACACACATGACTTATCACATTTACTGTCAATAAAAAAACACCAATATTGAATGTTCACACTCAAATTGTAGCACACGCAAACTTCAGCCACCTAAATCAATCACTCAGACAAAAATGTAAAAATTTCTTTCAAATCTCACATTGCAGTGGGATGATCAGATAACTTGGAGCTATTTTTTCCAGTTGTATTCCTGTCACAGTTTTATACATTTGTACAACCTGTTGCTAGGCTACAGAAACCTTTAGTATTTCCACACCTAAGCTAGTACCTTTCACTAGCTTCTCTTACTTCTTTCTTAGAAAATTCTTTTAGGATTTTTACACAAAGTTTCTGGAGTGGCTTTAAAAAATATAATCCCTTTTCAGGTAATCAGGAGGTAATCAGAGTGGCAGCAAAATAAGTCTAATCATATTCTAGCAATTTGGAGTAACAAAACCAATTCCTGTCTCTAATAGTGCTTTCTGCTCTCCACTACATGCTGCTTTGGATGGCTCATCCTGGATCTGAAAAGCAAGGTGAGCCATGCTTTGATTCCTCTCCCTAAACCATTTCCTTTTTAAAAAGCCCATTTGTTTCACTACTGTTCAGGTTTTAGAATCAGCACTGAAGTACCTTTTTAAAAGCTGCTCTTTAAATCAACTGCAAAAATGGGCTTGATGAAGAAATTCCTAAGGAAAAAGGTAGAATCTGTATGAAGAGAATTTTGTCTAGGTGGAAAGTTCTCTCTGGCTTTAAAAGACATTAATCTAGTCCTTTTCTTGCCTCAAGTTCTCCAGTAAGAAAATGTAGTCCAGCATGGTGAGTGCTTCCCCTGTGCCCTGTTCCACGACAACTCTCACAGCTGCAGGACTTGCTATTTTCTAGCAGCACAGAGCATCTCTTCCACAATACTTCCTGCTCTTCTAGAAATCAGCTGAATTTGCCTACCAGACTGCCATCATCTGTATGCACTTGCAGCACCATACTGCAGGGAGTAAAGAAGGCTGAAAGCATGAAATGCTGCTAATACTGTTCTGTGTCCTCTGCATGGAAACCAGGGATCTTTGGAGAAAGCCAAATACTAGGAAATGTGGAAAGGAACACGCAAGAGGTTCAGTTAGCTCTGTGACTGCTCCTGGTTTTCTCTCCAGCTGTACCTGGTGTGTACTGTGCCTCCAGAACCAGCTATCCTAAACAGGAACATTTTTTCAAACAAACAGAGAGGACAAAACAAGAAAAGATCCATTGTTTAACTTACACGATCATACGGGTCAAGTTCTACATCCAAGGGCACAGGGATTCCAGGCTTGGAAATGTGCAAGTAGTTATAACCTCCAGGAAGAACACCACCTGCCATAAATGAAAATATGAGGTTTATTAGGTCATAAACAATAAAGAAAATAATGTATTTAATTATTATTGATATAATGTATTATAATGCAATGTTTGTCCTCCTTCTGCCATTATCTTTTTCCAGTACATAAGGAGCCTTGAGTACTGTACTGCACTGGTTTAGATGGTTTTGAAAAACCATCATTCCTAAGGTGAGATAGACCTGCCTACACTATAGAAGAGCAAAAATATCTGAGAGGGGATGGAAATGTGACAGAAATCCAGCTGGACATACCTTGAACTTTACACCTCCTGTATACAGGGATGAGTCTGTCTGAGCCTTCTGGTGGCTCAGAACTGGGCTGAAGCTTTGAATCAAAGAGACTCAGCATGGAAACAGCAAGCTCAAAGCCAATCTCCTTGGAGTTGAAGTTGCTGTGTGTTAATTCATCCCTGTAGTATCTCCTGGAGAACTTTGTCAGAGGACCTGCAGCCCTGATGCTGACATCATTGGTGTGGAATTCTGTATCAATCACAACTCTTCCATCAAAAACAAGGCAAGCATCAGTGACAGCCTTAAAGATGTCATAATCCAGTGTCCTGTAGGCAAAGCTAAAAAATGCCTAAAAAGAGATGTAAATAAGTGAAGATAATTGTATATTACTTATTGGCTGATTTCATAAATTAAAACCCAGACCTTATTCTGAATGTTATTTTACAAAACAAGAATGTGAAATACAGTGTGATTTTAGCTACACTGTCACAGCAGAGAGATCCTTCTGAACCAGCATTTACAGTTACCAAAGTTAAGACCAAGACAGCAGAAAGGAGAATTACTAAATTAGACTTATCTGCTTCTGGTTATTAGATAGTTTAAAAACTCCCACATTTCACTCCTGTGAAACACACAGGAGTGAGTTTCAGTGCTCTCAGCTTTTAAAACCATCAGACAACAAGCTGCTGCCCCTCCAGCAAGAAATATTCCTTTACTGGCTGAGGAAATGGTGGAAGGGTCTCAGATGAGCACATTTTCCCTTGCTGCCTTCATTCTGAACAGCCCAAGACTTAATTGTGCCAGGCCAAAGCAGCATCTGTAATCTGTCCTTCCCTTAGCACCAGCTCAGGACAAATCTGTCACTGGGGTAAAGTTGTTACCTAGTTGTACCCCCAAAGAGCTTTCCTGGGGACTAAGGGCAAGTATCAGATACTCAACTGCTGAAAGAAAAGGCACAGGGAGCTGGAAATTTTAGCAGCACTGGCATAAGCAGAGATGTGACAGTGAAGGAGATAGAGCCACTGGTCTTGCTTATAGATAAATTGAATTATTAACTATGCACAGCTAAGGGAATTTTGACAATCTCAGGGAGCCAAAGATCAAGGAAGCTCTGCCCATGAGTGCAAGAGGACCACACAGCCCCACATCCTGCTGGCTGACAGGCAGGGCAGGGTCACTAGAGGAGGGCTGCAACCTCCAGGTGGGAGCCATCTGTCAGCCTGGGCAGGAGGTAGGGAAGAGGGAGGCTGCTGCTGTAGGGAGAGATTTTCTCCTGTTGTTTTTATCCCGCAGGACTCAACAAATTAAGACCCCAAGAACTGCCAATCAACAGTTGATACTGGCTGCAATCCCAAAAGGCCCAGAGCTGCTGCAGAGATGATTCCTGCAGAGCCTGGTCTCTCGTGAATGCAGCTGCCTTCCTGGTGGAGCTGCTCTCCAGAGCCTGCTCCTCCTCTGAGTCCAGCCTCCCACATGGCTGGAGGCAGACACAGCAGCCTTGCATGGCAGCTGAACTGGTTCTGGAGAATACAAAGCCCTTGACATCACAAGTAATAGAGGTCTTTCATCTTAGAGGCTGTGAAAGAGAGACCTCCACAGGGAAGGACCATGGATGGAGGAAGGAGGAGCATGGGGCACAAATGGGCAGGAGAAAGAAACCCCAAAGCAAGGGGCACCTGAAGGAACAGTGCAGTACCATGCAGACAAAGTGGTGGGGAAAAGGTGGGGCTGGTCAGTGGATACCAAGTTACAAAAAAAACAACCACGTTGAGATGTTTGTGGAAGGATAAAAATAGAGATATTTCAAGGAAAAAGAAGAGAGTGGGAAGAACGTCATTACTGATATGAAGACCAGGAGACTGCTACGGATAAAAGTGCTGTGTGAGGTCTTCACCTCATCACAAAAGGCTTTACCATCCCTATGGGAAAAAGAAAAGGGCTGCAGAGCAGGGACCCCAACGCCTGGGGAGCTCTCTGTGAGAGGCACAGGGCTCATCCTCTCCACATTTAACCCCAAGAGCTGCACAGAGGGGAGTGCAGAGGGTCTTGGTGGCTCCCTATGGATGCAGGTTTTGAAGTGTCTCACTCCTGTGGATTAGCCCAATAAAGGAAAACAGAGCTATGCTGGCCCTTAGGAAAGGCTAGGACCTGCCCCAGGCTCAGAGCAGAGCCACACCAACAGCTTCCATAAAAATATTGGTACTGGAAGTGAAAAAAACTGATGTAGAGGGAAAGGAACTTGCTTAAAATATATTTTCATCAAGTTACATACTATCCCAGTGTTTTTGGCTTCTACTATGACAATTAAATGCACATAACTATAGACAGGAGTAACTGCACATTTAAATAAGAAAAGGATTTCTGGAATTACTTTGAAAATGAATTAAGAGTATCTGTCACTCAGCAGTCACAATTACTTGTGTGTCAGGTGACTTAAATACATTTTAATCCAAATCAGTCAGGACATTAACAATAGGTTTATTTGGATTTTTAAAAAAACAATCATTGAGACTAACAAATTCAATCTCCTAGAGACAATGAGGATATAGATAAATCTATGATGGAGCAGGTAAATGTGATGGCTTTTTATTGGAATTTACCAATATAGCTGGATGGGATGTGCCTGAGCTTGTCTGGCCCTTGCTGCTGAAATAAATAGTGGCAGCTGTGGTGTTTTACCCCAGAGACACTTTTGGCTGGCTGGATGTGTGGTGTTTTACCCCAGACACTTTTGGCTGGCTGGATGCTGCAGATGGGCACTTGGAGACAAGTCCAGGCTTGCAGGAGCTCTGGTGGTGGCAGGATGGAGCCTCCTCCTTTAAGAGGGTCTGCTCCTCAGGTTTACCTCTGGTGGAGAAGCTTTAAGGGGATGATGAAAGAAAGGAGTCAGTTCTGATGGAGGGTTTTGATTCAGAGCTTTATTTTGGCCCACAGGCCTCTGAATCCAGCAATAGCTCCAACAGAACTCTCTGAACAGCGTGGTTACTGTTCCTTTTAACCCCAGGGAGAGGGGAAGGGAAGGGGTAGGAAGCCACCAACCAGGTACAGAAGAGGAGGTCTCAAGGGACAAAGGACACCTGGATGGCCCAATGCCCCCCAGGAGTAGAGGGCATCCTTTGAATCTGCCAATCACTTCTGGAATTCTAGGACTGACAGACAGGACTGCTCAGCAGGAGAAAGGAGAGGTGATTGATACACCTGGGAGGGAATCTTCAGGGGAAGACCTGAAATCACAACTCAACAGCTTCCGTGTTAAAAGCCCAGCCTGAAGGGAAGGCGCGGGCAGCGCGTACTTACAGAGCACTGCAGGTGGAGGAGGGTGGAGGCAGTGGTGAAGGCAGCCCAGGTGAGGAGGCCATTGTCACCGTGTCCCCACTGTGCCAGGATGCTGTTGGGGTGCACAACCACACGTGCCCCTTCCAGGGCCTCACACACTGCTTGTTCCAGGGCGGCCTCAAGCAGGCAGGGGCTGGCAGAGCCCGGCGGAGCCCACACCAGATGGATGCGGGAACCCTCGATCCCAAGGGATAAGAGGGCTTCTACCGTGGTGTACGTGTCAATTGTGTTCCCATAGACAATGATGTTCTCTAAGAGGGAAAAAAAAGGGCAAAAGATTTCTAAGACATACAATGAAAACCTTATTAGTGTAACTCAGACGATAATAATGTGGAATTGCACTCTTTGACCCTCTTGTTTCTCTGATGCTATGAAGCAAACAATGTTACCTAGCAACAGCAGCTAAGATAATTTAGTGAAGAATCTGTACAAAACATCCCACAAAGTAGGCAAGTACTTAAAACAGAAATATGATATTCATCCTGACCCCATAATCTGAGTTATTTTGATTGAAAAGCCTCTAGGGGTGTATAAATAAATAAATAACCATTTCTATTTTGTTTTCCCCCCTCTCCCTAATTTTGCTCATTCAAAGGACTGTTAGAGGGGGGGAGCAGTCAGAATCAAATTCAATACAGCATTCAAAAAACCCCCACAAACCATGGAAAGGCCAAATTATAGAAAACAAGCCCTTGTGCCACATGGAGGTGACCAGTGCTGCCACTCCCTTCTGCCAAAGCCTGATCTCCAGAGAACAGGGATGTACCTGTCCCTGGTGGTGAGGAAAGCTCAGCACAACTCTGAGGCAGCTGCACATGGCACAGAGCCCAGCCCAGAGCCAGTTCCATCCCTGCTCACTGCTGGGAGCTCAGCAAGCTGCAGGCAGCCATCCATCCCAGCAGCTGCCATGACAGCAGCGTGTAGGAACTGCTGCTCCTTCTGCAGAGCATCAGCACCAGCACAGAAACAGCTCCTGAACGCAGCCCCATCCTCCTGCCCTGGGCAAAGGGAGCTCAGACCTGATCAATCCCTCCTGCCTGGCACTGCACAGCTGCAGGGCCCTGCTCAGTCCTGTCCTGAACTTCAAATGGTACAGTCAGAGCTGAGCAAGAACATGAAGAGGGGAGGGTCTGTTCTGTGTGAGCACGATAGGGCTCTTTAGCCTAAGGGCTAAAGCCCTCCTGACAATAGGAGAGGCAGAGCTGGGAAGCAGCAGAGCAGCTGTGTGTTTTATCTCAGGATGGCTTCATATAAAACCCTAACATTCCTCTGAGCAAGACTGAGACCTGCTGCTCTCCCTTTCATTCCCTCTGCCCTCTTCTTGGAACAGGCAGCATTTGTCTGTTGTGTGATCCACTAAGCCTTTAAGCAACCCAGGCAAAATGGAACTCCTCATCTGAGGGCCAGAGCCCAGCCCTGCAAGCTCTCTGTGCACCACACACCCCACAGCCATGCCACACTCAGCTGCCCCAGCCCTGAGCGAGTGGCAGGGTCTAGAGGGAGGCAGGAACACCCCCACCTGCCTGCCCATGCCCACATCAGCTCCTGTGTTTCAGATGTGTCCTGTCAGTACAAGGATGCCCAAAAACCACCTTCCCAGTGCTTTCATGTTTCTCACCTGGGCAGTGCTACAACCAACCAATGTTTGTCTCAGTGGTGGCATTTCCATCACACCACAAGTGACAGCATCCCCAATGCCCTGAATTGTATTTTTTATGGGCTAAGCTAATCTCACTGGACCATGTTTTACTGCATGAGATGCAGGGCAATACTAATCTGAGCAGGCACACAGCCCCAGCTCCCAAGAATATTAATGATAAAAATGTTAACAGATGTTCTACTATTCCCCTTTGACTACAAGGTTATTTCATTTGTCCCCATCAGTTTGCCTACTTGTAGGTGCCAAAGAAACATCTCTCTTCATAGCTGCCAGAGAAAAGACTTGCCCCATGAGGACACTGCACACCAGTGACAGAAAATATGTTTCTGCTGTTCACAGCAATGACCCGAGGGACAGAACCATTTTATCTGCAAATGTACCAATTTGAAAACATGTGAAGAAAAGATCTTACTACTTCCATAAATATCATATAGAATACAGAAATGTTCCAGTGTGTCCATCACTTCCCAAGCCAGAAGAACCTATCCCATAGCTTGTGCCTGCCAGGACACCTGTCTGCAGCTACACTGGCCTCAGGGGGGTACCAAAAGAGAAGACAGATGTAAGCCTGACTGTTTTTTCCCTGCTGCAGCAGGGTGTAATGCAAGAAGCAGCCCAGCAGAACCCGTGGGTAAAGACCAGCTTTGCTCTACTCATTTTTATTAACTCCATGTGCTGACAGTGCAGGCCAGGATGTGGTGCGCAGGTGTTGACAGCCTCATGCTACATTTACATGTTTTCAACTTGCAGGGAGTGAAAGATATGAGTGAAAAGGATGCTGTGGCTGGAAAAGGAAGGTGAGGAGGGCTTCCCTGAGGCACAGCCAAGAAAAGCTCCATTCTGACTGCAGGGCAAAGCTGGGCTGGGACCCTTCACCCTTGGGCAGCACAGCCTCCTCAGAGAGAAGCTCAGTTCCTGCAGTAGACACTGGCATTTGGGGATGGACAAAATCAGATGAGAGTCCTACATTTCTCAAGCAAAATTAAAATTCTGGTTTATATGGTAATATTAAATACAACTGCATTAGATCAGGGAAAGCAATGCTCCTTTATTGACCTCTTGTAAATCAACAATTTACTGCTTCTGCTTATTACAATATTAGTGGCTTTTTAGATGACAGTGCTAGTAGTCTAGGAACTGCAGATATTCATTATGGACTGAAATTATGTCTACCGAACAGAGAGCAGTTCCTCAGGATGCTTTTATTATTTAACTACATGAAAATGTATGTATCTGTGAGTAAACATAATAACCTTCTACAGAAAAAACAGCCATAAATAAAGATCATTACAGTAGTTTTATCGTTTATTACCTGAATGTCAGCGTCCTGCTGCAGAGCAGACTCATTAATTTTCCACAAGTAAGAAGCACAAGATTTCAGTGACCCTAATGTGACCTGAATCTTTGCAGTTTGCAAAAGCCAAAGGAGAAACCCAGTATGAGCTAAAGCATTGGTGGCTCCAGTCAGTGATTCATGCACTGGAATTTTAATGCAAGAGTATTCCTACAAACACACTTTTAATAAGGCAGTAAACTATGCTTAGGTGAAGAGGAAAAAAAAAATAATTGCTTCATTTTGGGCCATTAAAGCAGTTTTGTTCCTTACTTTACTTCCATCCTACTTTTATTTTCATGGAAAGTGCAGAGCTAATAAGAGATGAATTTCAATTAGTCCCAATTACAGCTGTAATAGGTTCCATGCATTAGGTGGCTGGGTTTATCAGTAAATCACAGTGGCAGCCATGGGGCCAGTTCTTGCCCTACTCCCAGGCCCTCAGCAGCAGAAAGCCCTCCCAGAGCCCTGGCACAAGTGTCAGGACTGAAGGAACAGGAACAACGTTGGTAAGAAACACAGCTGGAAGAAGCAGCAGGGTGAGGAATGAGAAACAGATCAGTGGAGGAAGACTCTCCACTGGGCACTCTGCACAGCAGCAGAGAATGTGATGGGAAGAGCAAGGAGAGGGCACTGAAGACAGAGCAGGGGGAAAGGGGAAGATGTCACATCTCTCCTGGACCACATCTCCAAAAGTGCCTCCAGACCAACCTCATGGTGGTGTGTGTGAATTTACCTTCTCTACACATGAAGCCAGGCCAGGGCCTCATTAAGGGATGCAGCTCCACCTTGCAGCTAAGGCCAGCAGCAATACCAAAGTGAAGATGAACATTCCATGGCTCCAGCACTGCTGGGGGAGCAGGTGCACTCATGCCAGGGCAGGTGAGACAGCCTGACTGTGCCATTTGCTGCCGAGTGACTGATCCTCCTGGCACTGTGCATCCCAGGCAGCAGCTGCTCCCAGGCACAGGGACACCCCAGCACATTCCAGGACTGGGCACACAGGGAGTTACATGAAGGACTAGCAGCAGCAAGCAGGGACAGCTAACACTCTCATGTGTCTATGCAAAGTCAGCTGCTGTAGCAGCTGGATGCCAGGTAAGGCTGTGTGGGCAGGGCTGGCACCAGCTGGAGGACAGGTGGAGGCCAGGAAGCTGGCCAGAAACACTGCCATGTTTATGAACCCCTGTGCTGATCACAGCAAGACCTGGAGGACGATAAAGGAATTCCCAATGCTTTTAGAACTTCCCTAAAGGACTCCCAAGCAGGTGTGAACCTTGCACCACACCAAAGCACTGCCAATTTTCATCACACTCCACAAACAAGGCAGGTAAAACACATCTTCAGGAAAGTCCTGCTCTTGCACTCTGCCAGCAGGAATTGCCCACAAGGACAGCTTTCCTGCTCTGAACTCTCCTGACTCAGAGCCAGCAGGAACTGACATTTCATCAACTCATTGACTCTTTGGTCTCTGTTTTCCTAGTTCAAAGTTGACTCAGAAAGCTGGATGGTCCCAGGTATTTTCCACAGTGCACACACTAGTGAACATACAAACACAGCACACATGACAAAGCTGAGGAAATACAGGGATGGTGCACATCAGCATAAATGTCTGATTTTAAGGGTTAAAAAGCACCAGGAACTTGCAGTTCTATGTGAAAATCTGTCACTGATGCAACTGAATACAATGCTGTCAGACACTTCCTAATTTAGGCTTATTTTCTTTTTTTATGCCACAAATCTAGATATTTTTCTATACAGTAGAAAACCACATCCACTAATTAAATTATCTTTTCACTGGTGAATTAATGACTCCAGACAGATTTGCATTTGGGACTCATTTGGTTTTCTACAATAACTACAGATAATTAATCTATCTCAAACCTTTCTTTCCCAGCTAAATATACTGGGTATCAAAAATAACTAAAATTCTAAATTAATCTGGAAAACAAAGCCCACCAGATGAAAGACTGTTAGAATTCATCAGGCACCAATTATACAAGGGAATAAAAGAAGTAATAAGCCTAGGAAACATTTCTGTAAGTGTGTGCTTACCTGTGGACTTGATAAGGCGGTGTTCCTCCAGCCAGAGTGCTGCCTCGAAGCAGTCCTGGGCATCATTGAGAGTGAAGAGATTGGAAGGGACTTGCTCTGTGTATCTCTGTGGCCACTGGCTCGTGACTTCACTGATATATTCTCCCATGGGAGCCAGGGCCTGGAGAAATGAGTCAGTGAGTGGATATGGCACAGACCTTGGAGATGTTAAAACAAATTGACACCCTCACTTTGGCTACCCAAGGGCTGCTGTTCTGGCACATCCCAGCCCTCTGTCACACTCAGCAGCAGCAAACAGACCCATGGCCACTCAGGGAACACGGAGTGTACACGTGTGCATGTGGTCCCTGTTTCCTGTGGGATGTGGGCGACCACTTCAAACAGCCCTGTCAGTGCAAGTGCACATGGCAAACGCCAGGGACTGCACAGCAAACAGCAGAAATGTCCCAACACACAGAAGGGGATCTCAGCAGCTCTCTGAATAACAGATCACTTTAAAAGGCTCTGCCACCACCTTTTGTCAGCAAAAATCAACCTTCTACAATAACAGATTTTGACCCAGAGAAAGGGATCAAAATCTGCTTGATAGTTCAGATGTGAAGATTCAGTAACACGGTCACTGTGTAAAGCTGCGTTACAATAACAAACTCAGTTTGAGTTTGAAAAAAGGAAAAAGGGAATCTCATCTCTGACTTCCTCAGCATCACTGAGTCACATCCTGAACCCTGTTCTCACTACCAGCCAGATCAACTGAAATATTGCTGGGTCATATAAAACCAGGCATGACACCAAAAGATCTTAACAACTAAATCTCCAAATCATAACACAATGTTTTACTAAGCATTAATTTGACTGCTTACCAAACACGGAACAACTTAAAAAAACTACGGACTAGAGCTCTCCGTAATAAAACAGAAGCTACTAATTTCTTCTTATTCTTTTGTATAGCTTGAAAATGAGAATAGATGATAATGATGGAATTTCTCCTCAAAGGCAAATAAAACCTGCCTTTTCCCTTGCTATCTTTACCTTTCTCCCCCACTGCAGTTACTTGTCATAAATTTTTTTGCAAGTCAGAGTGACCTCCAAACACCTTTACCAAGGAGCACTTTTCCAGCCCACACTTCAGCTTTTGTTTCATGCCTGCTGAGCAGTGCCCATGGGCTGCTGTGTAAGTGTGCCTCTGCCTGAGAAGGGATCACAGACCACACAGCCTGCTGCACACAGGCAGCCAGACACTGCTGTGGGATGTGGCACAGCACTGCAAAGCTGCACACATTGCTCATATCCATCTCCTGATTTTAAAGACAAAATGCCTTGCTCACAACTTCTACCCCAAACCATCCAAGTAAGGCAAAGCCTGGCAACAAAGGGGCTGCACCAAGCTGCCTGTTTGGTTATGGGGCCTGAGGGCCTCATGGGGATACAGGAGCCAGGGAGTCTGAGTGGAAGCTGACCCGGTGAGACTGGAGCTCAACTTGATTCCACATCTCCCAGGCAGCTAAGCATCTGCTTCAATCTCACTGGAAACTCAGCTGTGTGCTACAACACCAAGCAGCACCACGGACTTGCCTAGGCATGGTCATCACGTGAGATGAGTAATTAATTTGATAAGGAATTCTCTCCATTTCCAAAACTAGGTCAAATGGTGTTAGACCAGCTGGAGTTCAGTCTCCTGTGGCTGGGACCACATGTCAGTTGAGCCTGCTCTTCAGCAGGTTTAATGGTTATGGTGGCAAAAACACCAGCAGCTTTGCCTCCTGCCCAACCCTGAGCAGTAAACTGTCCAACCCTCCTCTCTTTCAGCTTCAGCACCAGTACCAACACAGCCCTACACCCTACTGCACTGCAGGGCTGCCAACTGCTGGTGCTACCCTTGCTCTGCCTAATCCCAGGAACACCACTCAGTGTGGAAAACCTGGGAATACTGTGCTGTTCACTCTGCTCACCTGGTAGCTCTGTCCCGTGCACAGAACCAGGTAGTCGTACGGCACTTTCTCCTTGGAAACGACGACGTATTTGGCACTGCGGTTTATGCTCGTCATTTTACCAACCACAACGTTAACCCAGGAACAAAGTGACATCTGTGCATAATCTTCATCATTAAAACAGTGGCTGCAAAGAAAAAATATCTGTAAGTGACATTTCGGCAGCTGACAGCAGGCATTAATTAGACATCTGGTGAGCTCAGCCCAGGCCCCCAGTGGTTCCTCCTGCTCCCTTGCTGTGAGTTTACTGCAGCCTATGGTAAAAGATTAGGCATTAGGAAATACTCAGTTACAAATTGACAGCTTTCTGCTGAACCCAAACAAGGCCTTACAATGACATAATTCAAGAACAAAATCAGAAATCTATGCTTTGCTCTGCTTTTCCTTTGCAGGCTGATGGGAGTTAGAAGCTTTTGAACCTGCAAAGAAAATAATTCAACAGTCCAACTCTTTCTCCAAGACAAGACTTCTTTATTCAGCTTTTCCTCAACTTTCCTTCCTTTGCTATTCAACTTCACCAGTCACAGCTAAGGTGAGACACAAATGCAGGGAATGCACCCTACCATTTTAGCATCTGTATTCTGAAGTATTAGTCCATAAAGTTTAAAAATAAATAGAAAGCTAGAAAATGGTTGCCAGAGCTAAAAGCAAAAGGCAGAGATCTCAAGTCTCCTATTGGTGGCCCTTTTCCAAAAGAACTTTTCAGCAATGCAAGAATGACAAATACTGAAAGCACATTAAACTGGTTCTGAGTGGTGCAGTCCAGGACGTTCTGGGTGTGCATAGAGCACACATCACAAGCAAGGTTCTCTGACAGCGTGAATTCCATATCAGTACCCTAAAAATCATGTGTTGGCTTTGACAGTCTCAGACAAGGTTTGCTTTTCTCAGGTTTTAAGGCTGTTACAGCCTGCTCCAAGCAAAAAGCATTGGATATCCCTATGTGTGAGAGAAGTATAAAAGATCTGGAAGCTGCCATTTCAAAAAGCCAATTTTAAAGCAAAATACAAGTGGAACAAAACCCCTTTTAATGCCTCAGCAATGAAAATTACAATTACTTTCAAAGGCTTGGAGTGTGCCCTCAACCAAGGATCTCCAACCAAGTAAATACCAAGACACTTCTTACTGCATTTGTACCACCCTCTCTGTTAATAATAGCCTTTGGCAAAGACAAAGATTCCTGAAGATAAAATACTTCCATACAGATGCGCAACAAACATTATAAAACATGAGGAGAACATTCCCAACTAGGTCCATCACGACTCCTGAATGCCATGAGCCTGGCAATGGCCCACCATGGAAATGCACAAGAGGTTTCTGGCTACTGTGCAGACCCAGCTGGGCTCAACTCCATCCCTCCCCAATACTGAAAACCTGCACCAGGCAAAGCCTGTTCAGTTAGGTTCTTTCAGTAGAACTGGACAAACATATTCATACCTTTGTAGAGCAATAAACCCACAGGATCTAGCAAAGAGAATGCAACAGGTTTAAAACATGCAAAAAAAGAATGGCTGGTGTCACACAGGTGTCTGGTTTGTGAGACCAGAGCCGCTCTATTAGAAGAATCACTGTGAACAAACTACATGAAAGAAGCTGAGCCTCACCCCTGCCAGGACCTCAGGAGGGGAATGGCCAGTACAGAGACCCTGGGCTTCACCCAGGCTGTCAGCTGAAGTCACCACAGAAAATACATGGCAATTTAAAGGTCCAAAATCTTCACTTTCTATATATACTTAGTGATGAAAAATATTCCACTTTCTCCCAAAGGCCTCAAAGTGATTAAACAGAAGGGGCTGGGCCCATGCTCAAGCATTTGATGCTTTCTGTGGCACCAGCAGCTGCAGCAGAGAGTGCAGGCAGAGACCAGCACTGACAGCTGCTGCTTTGTCATTAATACCAGGACATACATCCCAACACAGAGCTCCTGGTTCCATGTTAATCATTGCTACCAAATTCCCAAAACTGGCATTCAGGATGCCACAGGAACAAATACAGTTGATTTCAAACCTGGAGAATTTAAGGATTGAATTGCCAGGCTTTCTGTGATGCTCTGCATCCTCTGTGCTCAGAGATAGCAGAAGGAAAAAAATAAGGGAAGAAAACCACTGACAATTCTGAACTGTAGTAGTGCAGAAATCTGTAAATAAAATGGACATTAAGGACGGAGGAAGGTTTCCAAAAGTACCTCTATAATTGAGGTGTGCAGCTCCCAGGAGATTGACACTTCAAAACCACTGGGATGCTTTCAGAAATCATACCCTGCAGAGTTCAATTTTCACTCTTAATCTACTTTCAGATTTTAACAGCCAAATCTGTTGAGGTGGCTCTGAACTACAACTTTCTGTCAGGAAGGATGCTTTGTTAGTACAACTCTTTTCTACAGTGAACTTAGGAAAGAGACTATGTGCATTTATGTGAGAATATAATTCCTTCATTTGCTAGATTTGCACTTGAACACACCCCTTTCTACAGTACAAAAAGTAATACAGGCAACTACTTTTACAAAATCTCTTGTCAGTGCAAAATGAGATGGTTTTAAACAGGTTCCCACTACATTATTTTCACATCTTTGTAGAGATTCCATTTGTAAGGTTCAGCAAGCAGACATGGAGCTGTTTTGTCATTTAAAGAGCCAGTCCTTTAGTGCACTGCAGCTCATGGAGGAAAAGATTTAGTGAAATGCAATGTAAAGGCTCCAAAGAATCACATGCCAATTCTAAATAACTTAGTATATTTTCATTCCCCAGCTATTCAGAATAACTGATCCATTTTAATTCTATGCTTCTCAATGTTCAAAACAATCACGTCCAAGTCCACAGTGATGATTTCCCCAAAACAAAACCCAAAAATACTGTATTTAAATGAGAACTATGTACTTAGAATTTTAAAGAGGTAAGATTTTTATCAGACTAAATGGAAGCTGTTATATTTATTGACAAACAAGGATGCCTGAAAAGTGTTTGACAGTCCCTAGACAAGGCTCTTCCTCCATTTCCCTTCAGCTGTACACAGCCCTGGTCAGGATAGACTGCCACAGCCCAGGGATTGGCACTCACAGCCCACAGCAGCAGAACTGATGCAGAACAGTTCTGCCAAACTGATCAACAGCAACTCCCCTGTACCCAGCAAAATCCCCACCAGCACTGATGGGCTCTGCATCCCACCACACACTGCCCAAAGTCAGTCCCTGTCACATTACCAATATTGATTCTTGTAGGTTCTTTGGTTCAGCATTATTTAGAACAAAACTCATGGAAGTTAAAAACCAAACAAGATTTAAAAAGTAAGCAGACATTTTGTGTCATTTGGCTTCAGCGTGGAGATTTAAACAATCTAAAAAACCTCAGAAAGCTGGGGCCACTTCCAAGGTATAACACAGTGGATTGCTGTCCTGAAGTTACTGCTTTGGCACTATTTCCCTATTCATAATTCTATCCAATTCCTCTTGTAGGTGAGTGCATGCTGGATAGACAGACTGGAGTATTTTGGGGCTCTCTATGGATGTATCTAAAATCTAGGACAAGTTCACAAGAATTACAGAGTGTTATGTTTTCTGCAGGAGTTATGGAAGTGTTTAGACATGAAGTCAAACCTGTTAATTAAAAATCTTCTATATTTGGAGATCAGTGGGTCTTTTCCTGGAAGGCCATGAATGGAAATCAAGGTCAGGTTGTTGAACTTCAGACGTGGCCTGTGGAAAGAAAAAGGGTCCCAGTTGGAAGAAATTCAGAGGGCACATCCAAGGAACAGTATAGCTCAGAATTCCATGTTCAGGAGTATACAGAAAGCAATTCCTTTACACAGGGTCAAAGTGTTTCACTCTGCCCAAATGCAGGTGGCTCTGGATACAAAGAGAAGAACAATTTCCACCAGTTTCAGCAATGCCAGGGCGAGGAGGGGGACAAGACTGACAGTATGTTGAACTAAATGTGATCTGACATTTGAAAACAAGTAAATATGATGAGTGATTAAGCCTTCTAATCTTCAAGGCTTTCTGTAAGTTAAGGATGGACTGATGCAAATGGTACAAAGGAATCAGAATGTTTTTTATCAACCAATGTTAATTTGTTATTCATACATTTAAAAAATATATTCAAACATAGTTAAAGGTCATACTTAAACCAAGGAATTTCAAGGTTATGGCTGCCCCTCTCAAAATGCATATTAATAGTTTAATTCTGGATTATGGATTATCTGTGGTAAATCTCCATGCATACTCAGGCCAAACACAAAGTAATAAATAACCTTAATGTAACAGAGTGCATATATTTATACAGATTATGGGCCTGATTCTCATTTAAATTAAGGTCACTCTGCAAAGGTGGATGTAAATAGAATTTGCTTTTCATTTATGGCCACCTTATGCTGCCTGAGTGATACAAAATGGTCTTCATGTAAATGAGAGTGAGCCTGATCCACAAGGCTGAAAGCAGAGTGTTGAAGCGATGCCATCTGCACACCGGGAACGTCGCTCGTGGGGTGCGAACAACAACTACAGCAACTTCACACACCAACAGAGCACAGCTCCTTGGCATTTATTTACATGGATCAATTACATAAACACCCTACACATCCTCCCAACCTCAGAGCAAGGAGATCTCATTGCAGTGTGGAGCTGAAGGCATCTGTACATGCTGCATGGTCTCTTACCAACAGGTGCCCAAATCCAGGGGCTACAGTCACATTACATTTAAATACTGTTAATACTTAGGATGGAAACCTTGTGAGCCAGCACCAGAAACATGGCATAATCAAAGTTCTAGGCATTATTAATGTGCCTCTTTTGCATGACTGCACGATGATGCACTTTATTGATCTGGTCATATACCATTTTCCTCTGCAGATGCTCTACCTCTATTGAATCCCCACGCAGGCATCCAGGATTTCCCCAGTCATATGGTATTTGTTCCTTCTTCCCCACTGAGTGGGAGGCTTCAATCAGACCTTCCAGTCAGTACAATTTACTAACTAATGATTTACTTCTACCTCAGCACTCCCATGGCATCCCCATATTAATTCATGTCTCCCACTCATTCATCTTGTAAGCATCAAAACGTTGATTAGCATCTTCTGGGATGAAATGAGAAAAAATGAGTAGAATCTTTGATTTCCCCTTCACACTGAGGAAAAGCCAGGCACAAAGCATGGTGGCTGGCAGCTCCCCAAGGGCAGGGTGGTTCAGGGGCAGAGCTGCAGGGGGTGGGGGCTGTACTCTGAGTGCCACACGCTGCCCCTCTGGCTCCACGGTTCCACACAGCTCCAGGCAAACAATGGCCCTGTCTCCAAACACACACAGACAAATCCCTGCTGCTGCAAAGTGTCAGAATTTGGTCAGTGTTTAAGCACAGGCTGGTGGTATTTGTGCAAATTATCAGAATCTTTAAATAAGTACCAAATGTCCTATCTTGTGTTCCAAAGGCCTGGCTCCAGAAGCGTAGCTGGCACGTGTGACCCCAGGATTTAAAATACATTTACACACACACAGAGGCACTTAAGGACAAGCCTGAGCACTAGAGGGGAGCTGCAGCTCCTGCTGGCACTGGCAGAGTCACCACAGGGTGACAGGTGGGGGATTTTGTGCTTTATTATTTCTAGGCTAACAAAAGGATGGCTCATTTACTACAGCTTTGGACTCCTTACTGGTGCCTAAAAGCTCTTAACTGGAGAATAACCAAGGCCCTGGATATAGGCAGTGGTGTCAGGACAAGGACTGACTTAGATGCTGCTAATAACAATGTCCAACATAAAACAGGGCAAAGTGAGGGTTCCCATTTGATGAAAAAGTCTTCAAGTTAAGAGCCTGAAGCAGTGCAACGTTAAACAAGTGCACCTGCATTTTAGAAGCAAATAATTCCAGCAGGGATTCACGTTGCTGTGGATACAGAGGGAAGAACAGCTCAAAGATACTGGTAAAGCAGGGAGGGATTAGAGTATCTAGGGAAATAAGTAAAAGGTGTTAGGTTTCAGTGCAGAGCTCTAGAGGACAGCTACAAAAAGAAACTGAACACTCTTGTCCTCAAAACAAAACAGGGTTACCAATCCATTGAGCATAATCAAAAGGACACAGAAAAGTTTTAGTACAGTTTTTACATATATCCTGGTGTTTGTGAACTTGTTAGAGCATTCCTTGCTTATTTTGCTGGATTTTTTTGCCTGATGTCTGTTTGGTGTTTTTTTCCTTCTGTGTGTGGCATAATGATGGAAGCTTAGATGGTGGAAACTGCCTGAGCAAATAATTTAATTACTTGCTTTCATTTAACCCCTCATTATCACAACAAGTCAAGCTACTTTTGTTACAAAAAATAAAGTGCAGCAAAGCAGTCTCCATGAACCTGAGATCTCAATTTATTCAAAATCTTGCACTTTATAAGATTCTTTTCCCAGTTATAAATAAAAACTAAAATAAAGGAGTGACAGAAGATAATGTTTTATCTGCCTCCTAAAGTTGGTAACTATGTGAACTGTTCTCCTGTGTACACAATCTTTAAACAATAATATCTGAAATTACAACCTATCCAAAAGTAAAGTCCTAATAACACTGGACCCTCAGCTTCACTGCATCAGAGCCCTTTTAAAAGTGGCAGCTCAAGACCATTCTGAAAATGGTAAAAAAAAAAAATCTGATTTCAGCACTAAACACTGAAAAGTAAGATGAGAGAGTCTTGCAATAACAAAATTTTGAAATCATCATTTTGAAATCAAGAAAAATCTCTGTCCTGAAACAAAAAAGGAACACTAACTTTTTGCAGGGAGGAAGAAGCCCAGAAGCAGAGATGATAATAAGAGTCCCAACAGGCCATAACCTGTGGTCAAGGCACAGGAGCTCAGCATGTCCAGGTGTCACTCTCACTGTACAAGGCAGATGGAGACAGTTCTCCTTTCCCCCATAAATGTAACAATTTAACCAAAGCAGGACTTATTGTTAATGAAACATTTCAAGAACACAGCAGTCAGAAGAGAGAAGACACTTCTCCAAAAGGAAAAGGAATCCAACAGATTTCCCAGCTCCACACCAAACTCACTTAACAAAGTGAGTGTTTGTGTTAACAAACACACAAACACAGCTTAACAAAGGTTTCCCATACAAATAACTAGAAAGAAACCCCACTCACTCAAGTTGTCCCTCTAGGATAAATGTGCTACTCAGTACTACAACCCTGCTTTCAGCCCCTCCCCAAACAAGGTGTTCCCATGCTGTCTCTCCATTAATTCCTTTGCCAGCCCCAGGGTTTTCCTTCCCCTCTGCTGCCTCTGCCTCCTCAGACAGCCACACTTAGCTGCAGCAGCAGCAGAAGGGTTTGTTGTTTGTATCAACACCTACCAAAAGCAGCTCTTCTGAAGAACCTGCTCTGAGGGCATCAATTACAGCCCCCAGAGCAGGATTCCAGATTCACTGCTGACCAACAGATGTCCATTTCCAAGATAACCCTCTTCAATTACCAGGAAACAAATATTAGCCAGTTCTCCCTTGGATTGACCTTAGGAAAAAGTGTTTAAATTGTGAATCAATTTGCTCAGCAAAAGAAGGGATAACAGCACAGTGTTCACTGGGACACTTGCCAATGCAAGGGTCAAGGAGGGGCTTTCCACACAACCTGGCCCATGACCACTCTTCCTCTCTCAGCAAAATATTTCATCATGCCCCAGTTGCTTCCTCCTGTTATTAAAACAACAGGGTCCCTTCAAAAACTTCTATTTTGATGAAAAGATACTTCGTTTTTTGGGTTTTTTAAAGAAACTTCCTGCCAGGTTTATTGGTAATTTTATCAGATGCTATTATCCTAAGAAGAGCAACCTCTAAGCCCAGGCCACGAAAGCCACCACTGTCACCATTTTCAACATCTTAGCAAGAATCCATTAAAGAGCTAAAGAACACTTTGACTAAAACCCTTCAAGGATGCTCAGGAATCTTTCTCCAGCACTGGTAGCTGGGCGTCTCACCAAACTTTGAACTTGATGGCTCACTACTTAGTAACAATTACGTCAGCGAGTTATCAACGTTATTCTCATACTCAATCCAAACACAGCTACTAGAAAGCAAATTAACTCTATCCCAGCCAAACACAGGGCAATCCTGTCTTAGAAGCCGTTCCTCTCCTGTTAAATTTGGATTCTCCTGCAAGGTCTACTCCTCTCACTCTTCCTCCTTCAAGTGATTAGCCCTAGATTTCCTTCTCTGTGGTTATTTTACTGTGGCTATATTGCTTGTCTCTTATCCTCTGTGCTGATCCTTTTCCTAGACAATATAACTAAAAACACCAGCAACTCTGACTGTTGACTTCCAATTCCTTTACTAATTCCTACTTTTTTAGGTGGCTTTATATCAGTCTACAATCTTGACTTCTCACTGAGCATTACCAAACATGTCTTTTTCCAGTTTCTTCTTTTGAATTCCAATCCACATTATAGCTCCATCCACCTTGTCCCCCTCTTGTGGCTTCACTGTTTTTGTCCCTTCCAGTCACCTCTCACTTCCCAGAAACTGGTTTGCTTACAGAAACTACAGCATTCACTCAAGATCTGCGGCATTTTCACAATCTAGGTTACTAAAACCAACATGGTAAAGTTCCTACAGTATGAATTGTTCTGAAACAGGGCAGGGAAAACTAAAGAGCTCTTTTCCTTGCCCACTCAAAACACACAGCTAAATCAGACCCATCCATATCCTTCCACAGCTACAGCATTCACAAG